GTATTGAAGTGTGTTTGTAGTTTGGATGAGATAGAATGCAAGTGTGTTAATGTTTGTAATCTGTTCTTTTAGTTTGGAAGTCATAGTATATGAGTCTGTATTTTCAGTTTGTGTAGGGTAAACATGTGTATGTGTTGTTGCCCAGTTAATGGTAAGTGTTTATATATGTTTTCAGTTTATTCATAGTTTTGGTAACACAACAGATGTAACATTGAATATGCAAGTAAGACAACTTCATAAATACATGTCATCAACATGAGCATTTGTCATCAATACAGTTCAAAGCTATTAGCAACATTGTTCTGAATACACACAAAACATGTTACAAGACTATTTGATATATGCATACATGGATACAAAAACAACTAAAATTGATATAATGCACACGACCAGTCTGGTGCAAGGGTATCTTTTGTGCTTTATCTTCTCCATCTTCTCTTTATTGTTGTCTGATTTCTCAGCTGCTTCCTGCTTCATCTCCAATGTGTGAATGTGATTTTCATTTCAGTTTTTTTAACAAGCCTGGAATTATTTTCTTGGACCTTTTGCACATTGGAGGGTCAAACCAGTCCATCAAACCACACCCTACAGACCACTGCAATCACATAATACAAATACTACGAAAATCAATCATCTAAAAAATTAAGGAAAAATTTAAAGCTACAGCAGACGCGTAATACCTCACTTCCAACGCATTTACAAAACCTTCTCTCACAGTTTTCTTGTTTCCATGTAGTGAAAAGCTTCAATTCTTGCCCACATTGACAATGTTTGACCGGAATCCACTCTCCATATTCATACCGGCCTGTTGATTTCGAGGTAGCAGAACTACTGCTAGACATGGTGGCCTTCGAGCTTACAGAGGTTGTGGTGTGCGCGAAGACGAAGGAGGAAGACGAAGGAGTAGTTGGTTAGGGATTTAGGTTTAAATGATGGATAAAGTATGGGTATTAAAGAAGGGGTGGTTACGAAACAGATGGAGTTGGCGAGGAAGAAGTTAAAACCAGCCTATGAAATTACTAAAGTAACCTTCCCTTTTTTAATAAATGATGAATCCGGCCGGAGTTTTGGTCGGCAGGATGACGGATGGTGAAGGAACAAAACGTAGGGACTACATGTGGACAAGTTAAAAGTCAGGTACTTAATGCGGAAGTGGTATAATACTCAAGGGACTAAAAGTGGAAAATTTTCAATTGAAAATAGTAGGAAAATGTATTTGACCATTTTTCCAAAGAGTTTTGCTACTTGTGCCCACTCTTCTATCCACCAATGTGAGTACTATTTTTTTGTTTGTGGGACCCGTTCACATACAAAATATGTCTTGTTTTGTCGTCATCATTATCATCGTCATCATCATTACCCCAGTGCCACAAAAGGCTTCCACCTACGGTGGCGTAAGGGGGGTCGGATGTACGCAGTCTTACCCTTGTAGTAACGCACAGAGAGATTGTTTCCGAATGACACATAGTAAAAATCATGTCGAAAATTGCATAAACTGACTGTTGCTTCATATCAGAGAAACGCAAACAGTTTGGTAAATCATTTTGCTTTATTCTATCACAAAAAATAGCCTACTCATATTGGTAGGTGAGTATGCTACTTTTTCAAAGCAAAATTTGTACTAAATCACAAACATTTACTCTCTTCAGTCTTCATCTCTGAAATTAAGTTTCAGATTTTCTATTTGAGATGTTCTAAAATAAAGTTCTCACATCAAGTTTTTATATATTTAATATGGATTAACTTTTTATTATTATGTCAAAAAAAATGTATTATTAATTTACTTTTCATCCACACATACCTTTAATGAATTGTCATCCACACATACCTTTATTGAATTGATGTGTCTTACTCTCATTTCATTATTCATTTACTTTGTTTGTTGTACCCATTTGGATATTACATCTTCTAATAGCCCAAACCTCCAAGGGCAATTTTCGGAAGTTAACTTTATTTTCTATCCTATCTAAGAACTTGTAAAGTCAAACTCGTAATTAGTTTCGACACGGAGGGAGTATATCATACCCTGTCCCATACACTACAAAAAACAGCATGTTTGTCACGGAACTTTGTCACGGATCCGGGCCATGACAACGTTGTCACGGGCTTGGTCACGGAAACGTTCGATTTGTCACGAAGAAGGTTTGTCACAGGAACAATCCGTGACAAACAGCCTCTGGAGACCAGCAATTTACTCCGGCCAAAATTTATTTACTTCCGGGCACTTTGTCACGGACGGATCCGTGACAAAATTCGTGACAAAATTCAAAAAAAAATGTCATGGATGCGTCCGTGACAAAGTGCCCGGAAGTCAATAAATTTTGGCCGGACGAATTACATGGTGCCAAAATTCCTCTTGGCATTTTGTGTGGATTAATGACGAGCTCTCACACGAATTACATGGTGCCAAAATATTCACTAAACTCAATTTAAGAACTGGCTACCATCATATTCGTATGCATACAACCGATATTGAAATGACCGCATTCCGGATCCATCATGGGCATTTTGAATTTTGAGTGATGGCCTTTGCAATGCACCATCCACGTTCCAAGCTCTCATGAATGAGGTGTTTGGTCGTTATCTCCGAAAATGTGTGCTCGTATTTTTTATAACATTCTAATCTATTACCTCCGTCCCACTCAACTTTGTGAAGTTGATGTTAGGTGGGAAATTAGAATAGTATATTTGTGTGGTTGAGGTTTGTACAGAGAAGAGAGAAATGAACAGAGCCACAAAAACATTGCTTTGAAAGGAAAGTGGTAAAGTTTTTTGGGACAAACAAAAAAGGAAAATTGGTAAAGTCTAATGGGACGGAGGGAGTATAACATTACTTAGGTTGACCATCTACATCATCTGAGTGCTCAGTGCTCATGTAAACAAATACATCATTCAGGAATTTTAACAAACACATGATAAGCATTACAAATTTAATTTCTTAGACCTACTATTTAATTTTGTATATGAGCTAAACATCAAATATGAAGGAATCAAACCAACTGCAAAAAATGTGTATATGAAAACACAAAAATGTATACACAATAATTACATAATTAGTGTGTAGCAAAATAATGGTTTTTACCTAGATAGAGTAGAAGATATGTTGTAGATTGAGAGTCGGCGGGTGCAGATGCAGAAGCGGCGTCCGGCGTCCTGCTGCAACTGATGTGGAAATGAAGTTCAGCTGTGAGGAGAAGCGGCGTTTGGCGTCCCGCTGCAACTGATGTGGAACCGGCGCTAGGCAACGAGGAGAGAGACGGCGTTTGGCGGTGAGGATAGAGCGTCACTGGCAGAGGAGCAGCGGGAAGTCACCGGGTCGAGAAGTCTTCTTCTCGTACTGCGCTAGGTCTTCTTCTCAGGCCTCAGCAGCCGGACATCTTTGTTTCTTTGTCGTAGGTAAGGACTCAGGAGGCGAATTAAAAGCAAAGACTTTTAACAAGGGGCAAAATCTAACTGACATTAATAAAACTTTTCGATTTTATAAAAAGAACCCCGTTTCACCTGCATACTTTCCAAATATTATGGAAATGACCCCGTTTTTATATTTAATGTCGGTTCTTTTATTATCCGTTATGGAATGAGTGTAAATACATTATTATTAAGCCTAGCGGAAGGCTATAAATCACAAAAATTTGCAATTTTGACCCCACGCCTACGTACTATCACGGTTGTATACCAATCCACATAAAATGTTAGTTATAAGATGCAATTTTTCCACTAGTGGAAAGTGGTCTTTCACCTCTTACAAACAAATTTTCTATACCACAAAAGATCCAAGCCGTTGTGGACTAGCCCAAACCCATTTTAGCAACTGCTTTACATAGCTTCCTTGGCCAAGCAAGTTTTTACCTCAAATTTATTAAAGGTTATGGTATCATTGCCACACCATTGACCAACCTCCTACATCGCAATGCATTCCAATGGAATGAGCAAGCAAACGATGCTTTCAATTAGGGATGGACTCGGGCCGGGTGGCCCGACCCGGGACCGGCCCGGGACCGGTACTGTTCCGGCCCGGCCCGACCCGGTGGCCCGGTCAGTGACCGGTCCGGGTAGGCCCGGCCCGTGGGTTTTCCGGTCCGGGCTCGGGTCACCCAAAACAAGGCCCGACCCGGCCAGGCCCGGGCCCGGTTCGGGCCAAAAACTATTTTTTTTTTCTTTTTTTTCAATTTTTTTTAAGTTTTCGGGTTGGGCTGGGTATTTTGGGCCATTTGGGGTGGTTTGGAGGGTTGGGGGTGGGAGGGGGTTAATTAGGAAGAGGAAAACAAAAAAAAAATGTAATGGGCCCGAACCCGGCCCGGACCCGGACCGGACCCGGTGGTTACCCGGGCCGGTCCCGGGTCCACCATTTCTGACCCGCCGGCCCGCCCGGGCCTAGGCCCGACCCGGACCCGAGTCCATCCCTACTTTCAATGCCCTGAAAACAGCACTATCATTTGCCCTGATTCTACAACTTCCTTTTCTATTCCTTTGTCATTGTATAAGTTGGGAACTTGTGAAGGTTACTGTAGAAAATGTATACACCAACGTATATCTATTCCTGATCTTGTTTGATTGCTTTCCTTCATTAGATCAGTTAATTACTTTCCTTAGTTAAGTTGATCTGCAACTTTATTGCTTTCCATCATTAGATAAGCCTATTTTAAGAATTAATTTAATGTAATTTTCTCCTTCCTTAATCCTTACTGGTTCTTGCAACCCTTACTATAAGTAGGGACTCTTGATTTTACTAATAAACAAGCCAGAATTAAGTACTTATCAATGAGAAAGGAACTCCATAAATTCATGAAGTTTTATCTCCTTCACTGTCTTACCTTATTTTCTGTTATTACCTGTAAAAATAGAGGGATCCCATCTCCTTGCCCCACCAACTGCCGGTTGACGCGAGCTCTAGCCCGGGAACATAACAAAGTAATATTTAGCTAGAAACAAATCTATGGTGTGCTGATAAGCTTAAATGAGAATGAGTTGATTGCGGAGGCACAAATTTGGAAAAAATATCACACTAATAGAAATTGCATAAACTATCAACCACACACGAATTGATGTTCACTGTAAACACATCACAGTATCGCAAGGTTTTCTAGCAGTCATAAGAGGGGCAACAACAACAATGGCCTTATGGAATGACTTGATGAAAATACTTTAAACCCATTGTCATGACAATGACTGCATGATTCAGCAACTGAATGAAACTCTAAGTGTGTAAACTACTTCATAAAGCATTGTTGAATGCTGCTCCCTATCGTGTTTACACCACTGCAATAGACTCCTCCATGAAAAGTTATCCCGAAGTTCGTTCAACATCAGGATACCAGATTATATATTTGACCGCGCTAAAGTTGATTTAATATTAAACCGATCCGGCGATGCCATTGCTATTCCCATTGACAACCTTAGATTTATCGCTCGTATCCAACTGGCTGAAGTTTTTTCCTGAAAAGCTGAGTGTGGTGATGCCTGCAATAGAGCTTATGCTCATGTGCTACATAATTTGATGGACTGGTCACACAGCCACCATGGCTGCACTTGAAGCAAGGTCGGTGGTATGAGGTTCCATCAACAGCAACATATATATATACACACACACACTAGCATTAGCACGCGCTTTGCGCGAGGGTCAATGCCCAATGGGGGAAATGGGTTGCAAAAGCAGCGCAAAATTAATCACCGAAAGAAGAAAGGAAATTATTGTGGAGAGAGCTGGAGAAATCCGGAAAAAGGAAAAATTTGCAAAGGTATCACAAAGTTAATTACCTGCAGCATCAGTTCAGCCCAACGATGAGGCTGATGTGAAAAGAGCAAAAATGTTGGAGATAGAGGAGGCACATTACGCAGGGTTGACTACCAATGTTGGACATTTGACTGATGTGAAAAGAGCAAAAATTGATCAGCAACATTATTAGCGTGCGCAAGAGGGGGTAGGACACAAGCCATAACAAAAAATAACAATTATAAGCAAACATGTTACAAAGATTGGTGCGACAAGCGATGCATGTTGGACCAATGACATATTCTAGAGAAAGCCTTGATAGTCTACAAAAAAGCGCCTACAAAAATGCATGCTCCCACGATCATCTCCCTATAAGTTTAAGGCAGTGGCGGACCCACTAAGGGTCCCATGGGGTCCCGGGACCCCACGAATTTAAAAAAAAACCTATATATTATATATATTTTATATTATAAAAAACTAAATGTATATTATTAAACAAAAAGTAGTTGTAATCGTAAAGTGTAGACTAGTCCAATGGTAGTCCGCGGGCGCTAGACATTTTCCTCTTGCAATTGATAATCAGGGGATCGATTCCCCTGTGAGACCTTTTACTTTTTGACCACCAATATGATTCTCATTTTGTGCTTGTTTCTTTTGTTCCTTTTATTACATTAGTACTACGTATTAGACTGTTAGTACACTTCATTCTCATTTTTTCTTGTTTCCTTTTATTACATTTCTACACGAGCATGGAAACTCAATTTTGCTAAAATAAATCATTTTTGTATTAGTTAATTAATTTTTTGTAAAATACAGTTGACCCAATTTGAAAAGTTAACAATCCTATTTATTATTATCTCCGTTCTTAAATTATTGCAAAATGTGGAATTCTACACTATTCACATGCTATATATTGACTATATTTTATTTATTAATGTATTAGAAATTTAATTTTTGAGAAATATTGTTAACATATTCTCATTATAAATTTTAAAAATCTGAAACTTTTTATTTGTTGGATGAATTATTAAAATTTCTTTGGATGTTAGGATTAAATTATGATATTTATGAACGTTTTTTCAATATTTTACAATTTAGGATGAAAAGAGATTTCGATAGTTTACCCAAATTTAAAGAAATGCGGAGTACCGAGAATTGCTCGGATGTTAATTCAAATGATTCGTCATTATTAAATGAAGAATTGAATTGAATAATTGATGAATGTGAAATTAATTTGATTGATAATTTATATGACCAACATGTTGATTTTGAGTCTTTAGAAAAGCTTATTCTAGATTACGATTTTTTTTTTGCTTATTTTCATCCTGATGTCTAAGACGAGGCACGTTGTAATTACCTTAAAAAGGGTCATTCAAACTTAAGATGTAAGTTAACTATGAAATGTTATGCTATTATAATATTTATTACTTCTGTTTCTATTAATATTATACTTCCTCCGTTCTTTTTTATTGGCAATAGTCCACTTTTCACATTAGCCAATGCGCAAGTTTGACCATTAATATCTTTCATTCCTTATTAGTAAAAAAATTAAAAAATTCAGATTTTGAAAATTTCAAATGAGAAGCATTTAACAATATTTTTTTAAAATTTAATTTATAATACATATAAATAAAATATAATCAAAGTAGAATGTGTGAACAGTGAAAAAAGTCCAATATTGCAATTAAAAGAGAACGAAAGTAGTACTTCCTCCGTCCCTATATAAAAGTATCCATTCATTTTACACACATCTTAAAAAAGTGGGTTTGGTTAGTACTGTTTGGCACTGTTTGGACACTGTTTGGCACTGTTTGGCACTGTTTTGCACTACTCCGTATTTTGTTTGCCAAAAAAAGAAAGAGAACTTTTATTTAGGGACAACCCGAAAAGGAAACAGATGCTTTTATTTAGGGACGGAGGGAGTATTAATTAGAGTGACATTGGAGTAAGGACCCCATGACTCTGATTTTCTGGGTCCACCACTGGTTTAAGGCAAATATTATGCACAGCCAATAAATTGAGGAGTTTGCAACTATGATCTTATAAACTAAGGCCATAAGAAGATTATAAATAAGTAAAAGATTTATAAGTAAGTAAAAGAGCAGGAAAACTGAAGAACATTACAGAGATTCCAATTTTGGAAGAAACTTTTTTAGTTAAATAAAAAAACATGAACCCAAAACATACTTCTCCATTCCAAAAACATCCCCAAACTCCCAAAAAAGTTTCACTTCTCACAGTTTTTCCTCGTCTCCATAAATGTCAAGCATGATTTAAAAAATGTAATTTTTATTAATTTATCAAAAAACAAAAATGCTAAATGTGTGATCTGATCTGTGCTATGACTCCTATGAGTGTAGGTAGAAGTTCCGGGTATTATCCTTAGGAGTTTAGAACACATTGAGCAGAAACATATTGCAAAGCCTATTGTATTTATTGCCAAAATGGGTGCCCACCGACCTCCTGCTTTGAGACTTTTAGGCAAAAGATCTCTTAGAATCAAGGAGAATAAATATAAATAGTTTATATTTCTAAAGCGCAAGCAAAATGCATAGTTAGGATATGAATAGAAGGAATCAAAAATATTTAAAGATTATTAAGAATCGAAACAAATCAATTCAAAGATTACGAAAATAATTGAGCTCATATTTTACCAAATCTCAATCCAATCAATTCACATCTTCGTGAACCCTCATATGCCCCAATTTTATGGCCACCAACCATCACAATTTTATGACCTAATTCAGAAACATCATTTCTTACCAAAAGTTAACACTTTTTTAGGAACAAAGAAAGAAAGAAAGAATCCTAATGAGAAGAAAACATTGCTAAAGAAATGGTGATGAAAAATAAGATAGCAAACATTTAAAAACTCATTGATAGAAAATGGATTGTCCTAAAGAAAGGCTGAAAATGTTTCAAACAGAAACATGCATATTCACTTATTACTCCTCATAGAACCATGGTTAGGCCTCATTACTATACATCCTCGCAGAACCTAGCGGGACGAAGGACAGATAAAACCAGAATAAAGATGATCCTGTTTGGAGGAATGAGAAAAAAAATGCTCAAGAATTTTACAAAGAAGGACAAACAAATGAGGTTTTAAAGATAGTAAATACCTATCTAACTGAAATTTTATGATGAACATTATATCTCGAATCAAAAAAAATAAATTAAGGATTGAAAATTTTGTCTACTAATTATGAAGACTCTTTATTAATTATTTTAAATCGATCCCATATAATAAATTGATCCCTTTGTTTATTAGAATTTAATTGAAAACCAATTAAAATACTAACTGATACAAAACTACCAAGTTCATAATTCATGGAATCGAATAAGATCAGATAATCACATAAGACGGGAAACATGAGTTAGATGTATCCATGCACTCTCATTTCTCAAGAAGAACTGGAAGAGAAATTGATAGAAGGATATAAACTTGACAGATGAATTGATATGGTACTAAAATTCAAAAATCCCAATCCCAATACAAGCATGATAAACACATATTAAGATATTCATGCAGGTGAAGGTTTTAATTTTTTTAAACACATATTAAAATATTTATAATTTTATTTACTATAAGTTGTGGCCCATTCATTTCTTGCCGTTCTTCAATCTGTTCTGTGTTCTTTTCTTTTATCTACTATAAGTTGTGGGTCATTTATCTCTTCAGGTGCAAAGTTATATATGAGTTAAGGAACATACTCTGCGGAGTACTGGAACAGGTTAATGAAAGACAGCTTGATGTCACTTAGTAACTCAGGAGCAGCAGCATCCGTGATTCTTGCAACTTTATAACTTATCTGTACGATCAAGAGGAAAGATGTTGAATATTGCCCTCAAACTATGAAAAATAAGGTAATAAAAAGTTGAAGAATTACACTCATGACGTTAGAGAGAACAGTGTAGATAAGTTCCTCCCTGTAAGCTGCCATCAGGGCAAGTAATAATGACAAGATGCTACCTATACATAAGTAATGCATTCATACACTTTGAGGGTAAAAAGTACCAGAAATCGCTATCTAACATGTATTACTCCAAAATTAGCAATGCATTCATATCCTTTAACAACTCAAAAAAGTTACCCTGTAATTTTTTTAGCATTGTAGATATATTTTCTGCTAATCAACAAAAGAAGATAAAAATACATCATCAATCAAAATAATTTAAAACTATTCAGTATGCTAACTTTAAATCTAAAAAAAATGATTGAATGAAACACACCTTAATCACATAAGCTGCATAAGAGCTCAATCAATTTTGTTGGCATAGAAAAGATTGATATCAACATCACATTTAGTCATTCAACCAAGCGGCGTACTGTAGGAGTGTTCCTATACTTTAGACAGACCTTAACTTAATTCTCGATTTAATAAAGAAAGAGACATGTCTATGAATTTAAATTTCAAATCTATATACTAAAGAACGAAGGAACCTTACATTTATCCATCAAATTTATAATAAAGTACAAAATTACACATGTTTAATATGAGACAGAGTTCAGCGAAATTATCACCTTTAATATACACATGTTTGTTCCTTCATCTTTGTCCTTGTGAATTGTTTAGAGAAGCTGGGAGTGAATGAAGTTTACCTCAAATGAATGGGAGGATATACCTTATTACACAGAAAGCTAAGAAATTGTTATCTTCAGCTAAGCATTTTATAAATTGCATATACAAAATATAAAGAATACTTATACCATAGAATCAGGTTATATGGTTGGGAGATAGAAGAAAATACTCGTCGAAAATAGAGAGCGAACCTGGATTAATATAGAAGCCATGGATGCACATGGATGCACTTCGGAAGCTTTGACTAAATGAACCAAAACTGGAAATGATTATGTGCCTATGTGGCAACAATTAAAAGTAAAATTCACTTAGACAGGAGTAGTTGGTACTACTCTTGTATCAAAAAGGGAGGGATCCGTGAAAGAAGTCGGGATCAATTTGTGATAAATGGCTTTAATTTTCTGGAATCCGTGAAAGAAGTCGGGAAGCTAGAATCCGTGAAAGAAGCGTCCACGGGATTCAAGCTTCTATCAGTTTCAGAATTCACAAAACCGATAGATGAGAAAATAATGTGTGATAAATGGCTTTAATTTTTTGGAAGCTTAAAAAAGAACATAAAGATGAGTCCATACACTCAACTCAGATCAATTTAAGTCCACTAATACACAATTCATCCAATTAATTCATTACTTAACAGCCAATATATGGGAAATTAAAAAGCATCATACCTAATAAAAATTTTGCTTTATTGATCATTTTATAAATTAGAGTAATCAATAAAGAAAAATTTAAGATTAGGGTTGTTATCTGGCCGAGTTTCTAATTAGAACAGTGGGGGCATGTAGGAGGTGTGGTTCTTAAATACGGTAGCATCTCTACTCTTGTTTCAAAAGCTTTTTAGCCAATACATAGATGCTTAGTTTGATAATTAATTTGGTACTTACATTGCTCAGAAGCTAGTTAAATTAAACTACCAAAAGGCCCCAAATCATATTAATTCCAGTTTGCTAGTAGCTGAAAACATGAATTAAATAGCATAATTTGCATTCAATAACTCAAAATCATGGGCCATTTCAGATAGTATAGCAGGTATGTTTTTAACATAGCATTACATAATCAAAATCAGTGGCCATAAATGGCAAAACTGGATCCTAATAGTTTTATAGGATCCTGACTTCTTTCATGGTAGCATCTCTACTCTTGTTATCTGGCCGAGTTTCTAATACGGTAGCATCTCTACTCTTGTATTAAAAAGGGCGGAATCCGTGAAAGAAGTCGGGATCAATTTGTGATAAATGGCTTTAATTTTCTGGAATCCGTGAAAGAAGTCAGGAAGCACGGATCCGTGAAAGCTGTGAGCAGGTCACAATTTGGAATCCTGTGAGCAGGTCAGATCGGGCCCTTTTTTATACGCTTAAAAGCTTGAATCCGTGAAAGAAGTCGGGATCAATTTGTGATAAAGAGAGGGGGTGAAGTGATGCTACTGTATTACCGTAGAAGCTTGAATCCCGTGGACGCTGGGCACCGGAAAAGCTTGATTCTCACGAACGTCTGGCAGGTTCGGCAAAAGACGTACTTCTCCGCAAACCCTAGCTTAATTTTGAGTTTTTGGAGATTGGGGATGGGAGCAGGTCAGATGTAGACAAAGAAGACCATAAAGAGAGCCATGTAGTTTGGTTGCATGTGTGAGAAAGCAGATCGCGGTTACCTGTGATAGAGATAGCAGACAGGGTACTGATGGTGAGGAGACCCTCACATCCCTGAGAGCTATGGAGGAGAGGGAAATGGGAAATGAAATGGGAAAACCATCCGCCACTCATTCTATACGGGAGAGCAGTAAACGGAGTCAACCGTTTGGAGCTGTAGTAACGTTAAATTGCCCGACTTAACCACCTTGGCCACTTTATACATAAGTAGATATAAACAGCAATTTATTAGCGTCTTTGGTCCAAATCAAATGATATCCATCGATGGATCAGTGTCACTACATCACGAGGTTTAGTTTTTCATATCTTGAAAATACCCATTTTTTAGGTTCCATATAAATTAAGAGAAATGCTAGTGGAAATAAAATAGTGGAGGAAATATATGAATTTTTTTAAAGAAACAAAATGCTGAGGGAAGTAAAACATTGGTTGCAAGTTTGCAACTCAGTAAACTTATTTTTATATTTGTCTGATTTCATTTTTCTTTATTTAGTATATAAAACTAAGTATTCTAGCTCCAATTTCCTGCATCGATTCATGTAGCCGACCTCAAATTATTTTTGGCCTAAAGCTTGGATGTTGTTGTTGTATAAAACTAAGAATTGTGACCAAATATAAATATGTTCATACCCTTAGCCATATTTCATTCTCTTTTGTACACTTTCAAAGCTAATGCAGACGTAAGAAAATAACTTTGACACTTTCTTTACTTTTGATAGCATTTCCCTGGACTGAGACATAGCCTTAAAACGTGATTTCCTAGTTTTCAGTTTTAGCTGCTGCATAGGTAGCAACTGATGCAAAATGAACCTTCACTTTAACTGAAAATTTTGAGTTTCTGTACTGAATATTAGTTTTCAATGTGAGATGACTTATCTTAAACAAACAAATTTTCTTGCCCAGCTGAATAAGAGATAGCAAATACCTTACCTTTTCAATGGGGTAAACTGTTTTATTGCAAGCCACACATTAATCTTGAGTTCCGACAAACATGCTTCAAACTTTAGTGCTTGAGTGTCCCTGCATGCCCAATTCAGCATAATATAAGCATTAATAGAAGATTAACCAAAACAACACTAAAGATATAAATTAACCTACAGAGTATATATTTTATTAGGTTTCATATTTCACGATGAAATTTCAAATCTTTATATATTTTTAGAGTCAACTACGTTCAAGTGAGCAACTGATCTGACTACTGATAGAAAAAAAGTACTTAGATTTCAAGATTGGTCTGCTCCAGCGAGATCGACATATAAACTCCGGACTCCTCTTTTATGATGAAATTTTAGATTGGTACTTAGATTTAGATTGATCTTTTATGATGATATTTTAAGTTTTAATAAACAACAATACAAATTGCGATAAGATGCACTTATACTTGTGTCCTAAAAAAGAAAAATATGAAATAATGCAGATTCCATACCTGATCAGCAGCTCTTTCCCTCACTGTTTTTGGAGCCCCTGCACATGGTTTGAGAAGGGAATATAATAAAGTTAGAGGATTAGGATGATGGGTCAAATGACACCTGGTAAGTATTAATATGCTTTCAGGTATGAAGAGAACCACAAGTGTACCAAGAGAACCACTTACCTTCAAAACTCTTATCCAGGCTACCAGTCATTTTGAAAAGCTGATCAAAGTGTGGTTTGCAGTATAAAACTCCTTCGAAGGAGTTGTAATTGCTGAGCTGCAAACAAGAAAACCATGAAACAGATATTTGTAATATTAGGTGTTGCTGCTTGGTAAAGCTTGTACATATATGATTATAACAATAGTAATACATTGATACGACAGTACTCCACTAGATCTAATCTTGGCAATCAAACGTACATTTTTCCTTACTTAGTCAGAAGCATCTCCATGATTTATTACTTAAGATTTAATATAATTTTTATTACACTTTCGAAATATGTAAATTTTAGTTACCAATACTAATTAAAATACGGAGTATATTATAAATAAAATTCTTAATGAAACTGATCGATAACAGATGAAGTCTGTCACAAACAGAAGCTAAATAAAATACGGTACTAGATCCAGAACCATTAAAATCCAAATGAATCCAACACAAGGATTAATTAATCACTCAAGGAAGAATGAAACTTTTCATGATTTAAAAAAAGAAAAAGAAGAAAAAGGATACACCCTCCACGGGGTTCCTACATCAAACGGGTTTACATACCATAAAATGTTACAAACCAATAAACAGAGAATTGTCCATCACCGTCTTCTACATCTAATCTTTGATACAAGATGGGCATATTGCCCCTTCTCCACCATCTGTCTTATCACTTGATGAGCTTTCTTAAGTTTTCCAGCATTCTTCAAATGACTTACCAAAGACCTATAAACCAGAAAATTCGGATTACAACCCCTCAACTCCATTTCTTTTAGCATATCACAAGCCTCCACAAATTTCCCAGACATACAAAGCCCGCGGATCATGGAATTGTAGGTAAACACATTTGGTAGCTGTCCCTTGCTTACCATCTCACCAAACAGCTCCTCAGCTTTACAAAATTCCTCGGCCACAACATATGCTGTTATCATTACAGTGTAACAAACAACATCAGGGGAACAACCACTTTGGGTCAACATCTCTTCAAAAAAGTTTTTACTTGCATCTAAGTTACCGGCCCGGCTAAGCCCATCAATCAGAGTAGTGAAGTGGAGAATGCTAGGATTACACCCTACTTCTTTCATATGGTTCAAAAGATTAAGAGCTTCTAGCGGTTTGTCCCCTCTGCCAAGAACATGAAGAAGGAGAATGAATGTGTGGGAATTAGGGGAAACCCCCTTTGACTCCATTTCATCAAGCAATCTGTTAAACTGACAAAGTCTTCTTAGTCTGTATTTTGCACAGAGAAGTATGTTATAACTTAGAATATCTGGGGAATGGCCTTCGAGCAACATCTGCTGATACACCCATTCGATAAGCTTGTAATGCTTTATGGATAGTAGACTGTGCAGGATTGCATTAAAAGAATGCTTGAATGGTCTATAGTTAAACCTCTTTGTTCGAATAAACCTTTGCACTACTTTCCTAGCTAATCCAGCATTACCACAGCTACAAATCAATATGTTGAAAGTCCGGGCAGTTGTTGGGTACCCTTTCTCGATCATCTCGTCTAATAGTTCCCACATTGCCTTGAATTCCCCCACCTCAGAAAAAATCTGCATCATTAAATGGTATGAACATGCCGTGTGGGTATAGTTTTCCTGCTGACCGGACCATTCAAAGAACATGTACCCAATTTTAGATGAATGTTTCTTATTTTCATAAAAATATGTGACTCTTAGTAACCCTAAGAGAACTTCCCTCACTAGAAGGCCAGAAACCCTAACTTGTAAATCATCTAAAGCTGTTTTCTTGTCAAACTGGGGAGGACCGTCTTGATGCAGAATTTCTAGAATCCTCTGAGAGTCAATTCTAATATTGCCAGCAAAACTTTTAGTCGAGGGAATGTGGTTTGGGTGGGAGCCTTCACAAAAACGGTTGATGGACAAACGTCTATTTAGCTTTTCCTCAAAACTACGATCAAAATTAGGAGTTTCGGAACCTTCACTCAAGTGGTACTCTATGCTTCCAAGCCCACTGACTACACTATCACCTTTTGTTGTTGTCCACTTCACCTTTTGTCTGAGTGGCCCGTGAGTGTTGTTGTTTGACTCACCTGTGACTTCCTTCTGGCCTGGCAGTGTATTATTAGTAACCTTAGTAACCGCTGCTTCTCCCTCTGAGAGTAGCCTGCGTGAGAGATACAGAGAACAGAAATCTTCTTCTACTCTTTTCCCTTTGTGTGTGAGAGTGAGGTTCCTTAGTGATAAGAGAAAAAGCTTGCGAAGTGGAGAGGTCATCCCTAGTGTGGTGTATTGGTATAAGATTGGTTGGAGACCTGAGCCGGAAAAACGGAAACGATCCTAACAGTGGTATCAGAGCGAGGTTCGCCGTCTGCCGCCGTCTGCCGCCGTTCACCGCTGCCGTCCCGCCGTTCGCCGCTGATTCAAGGTCTGGGAAGTCGTTGCAGTCGATTCCCTGGACGCTGGAGGTTTCTGCCTGCTGGAACTGGGCGCACAGCTGGACGCAGAAGGGTGGTTGCAGAAGCAGGGAGCTCACCCATTTCCGTTAGTCGCTGGGAAGCAGGAGTTCTCGCCGGAACCGTCCGCAGCTGGAGCCGTCATCACCAGAAATTTCCGCCGTCGTCCATCCGTCCGTTAGAGTTGCCGTCGCCGATTCGCCGTCTCCCGTTGCAGTCTGGAGCTCCTCCGTCAATCGTCCAGGCTTGTCGCCACCTCTGGAGGGGAGCTGGTCTTGGAGGTGTTGAAACAACGCAGGGGCTGAGAGCGAACTCGCGTGGAAAGAACGCAGGGGCCGAGAGCTTGTTGGACTTTTGGCTGGACTGATAAATTACTGGGCTGGCCTTGTGTGCTGTTCACTCGACCTAAAGGAAACCTGAAGGAGACTGCTGGGCCGGATTGAACTGGGCTGCTAAGCTCCTGGACTGGTACTGCTGCTAACCTGGGCTGGAGCTGCTGGAAGCAGTCAACAACATTCAACGCAGTCAACCCCGGTCAAACCCGGTCAACAACCCACAAGGCCAGCCGAGTAATTATTATAGTCCAGCCCAAAGTCCAACAAGCTCCACCTAACCCCGTAAATTTATATATATATATATATATATATATATATATATATATATATATATATATATATATTGATAGAGTATATCTCTAGAGAGAAGTGAGAGCTAGAGAGAGAAGTAGTATATTTGCTTCAATAGAATGAATTCGTAACCCCTATAACTACTCCCAAGGGGAGTATTTATAGAGAAAATTAGGGTTGGGCTCCCAAGTCTTGGGTTTGGGAGGCCTATTTACAACTGGACCGCTACTGGGCCGAATACAAAGCCACTAATGGGCTGTACAAATGAATAAGTATAAAATCCGATTCTGGGAGGTCTTCGTGGCCGACGAGGGTGTGGCCGACGAGGGCACGGCCGACGAGGGCACGGCCGACGAGGGCACGACCGACGAGGGCACCCGGGTTCCTTTGACTCAGGACCATAATCCGAGTTGGCCCCTTTTCGGCCGACGGGGGCGTCCTGGCCGACGAGGGCGCCACTCTGTGCCTTGTGCTTTCTGTTCTTCCGAGTATGTGGGTCCGGGGGCTCAGACCCATATACTCCATCAGGAGTCCCCCACTCTCTAAACTGAGACGTAGACGAAGTGAAGGAGAGTAGATTCCTATGCTTTGGTGCCCTTGGCCGTTATCTGTTCCTTGTTGTGGACAGGGGGGCCGTTGTTTACTTGATGTCATTGTTTTTGGACGATGAGTGTCCTTCTTTCAATGGTGGCCGTTGAAAGGCACGTTTTGCTTGGGCGTTGATGGCTGAAGTTTGTGTTCGGGCCGATGAGGCCACTGAAGTTATTCCTTGCTTTGAGGACGATGGCGTCCTTTCCTTTGGGTGGCCGATGAGGGTGTTTGCGCACTCCTTTTGGCCGTTGCTGGTTGGCCTTCGTGTTCTTGGCCGAAGGGCACGTCATGATTAATTGTTGGCGGAGGACGATGAGTGTCCTTGCCTCTAGTGGCTTGTTGGCCGTCGCTAATGACGTTATGGGCCTTTGGCCGATGAAGCTCTGTTGTGCTGTATGGATGATGTGGCCATGCTTTGTGGTCACATTCATGTTCTTTGTAGTGTTTCCTTTTTGTTTTGCTGAGGCCGGTGTAGTCCCCCAGTCCCCCACTGCTTCAGGCCGAGGAGTGTGAGGGGTGAAGGAGTTGCTTAAGTCCCTGGCCGAAGCGGCCTCTCCGTAGTCCCCCTGAATCCAACTCTCATGGCGATTTTCTGGCCAAGGTAACCCTGTGGGAGAACCCTTGTGCGCAGATCGCTTGTAGAGAGTTATCATCAAAGATCATGACGAGGAGCCGATGGCTTGTGGGCTCTTGGGTCCTTTGATATTGTGGCCGTTACGTTCCTGGTCGTTGTCGTCTCCTTATTGTTTGGCAGTTGTGATCTTGGCGAGCAAGTGGGACGTTGCGGGCGCTTGCTGACATTTGTAAAGCCAGTGAGCGTGTGTAGGCCGTAGAGTCCGTCCTGCTAGTGGGCTGTTGATATTGAGTTTGGCCCGTTGGTGACGTGGTGGCCCCCCATTGGTGGCCGTTGGTGTGGCCATTGGGGGGGTGCCACGTGTAGTGACCGTTGGGTGGGGGGTTCTATAAATACCCCTCCCCCTCCGACGAGAAAACGTATTTGCATTCTGAATTTGTCGAAGTGCTGGCCGATTTTCTAGAGAGATAAACTCCCAAGCCTGTTCTTCGTGTTCTTCGTTGTTCAAGGTTAGTGTTCATCGCGATCTTCCTCACTTTTCATACTTTGCTTCCTAGGTTGTTGATCTAGTGTTAGGCGTTTGAACACCCTTAGATCTTAAATTAGTCTCCTTAGGCCCGTAGTAGTAGTTATGAAGAGCTTGAACGAAGACTACTACCCCTACGACGACCAGCCCTCCACGAGGTCGCTTGACTACGAGGTGCTCGAGGAGTTCGAAGAGGAGATAGAGCGTTTAAGTCCCTACAAATCCGGAGAGCCGGTGGACGAGGAAGGCGAGGACGAGGAGTCCGTCTCCTCTTCAAAGGGTGAGGACGTAGGTGCGTCCCGAGTGGTGGACGGGGCGCCCACTTCTGCTGTCATTCCGTGCCCGAGGCCGGTGTCTGCCGTGAAGGGAGCAGCTAAACCGAAGAGGGTGAGGAGGCCGAAGAATGGGTCGGGCCTCTCCTATCTGGACCTCACCAACATATTCCTGATCAAGCCGGAGAGCAGTGCGGCCGACTATCTTGTTGCCCAGATGTATGTGGGGCCATTCGGGCGGGTTAGGGCACCCAGACCGACGGACCATGTTCTACTTCCGCCACCGGGATACTTTGGAGTATACCCGATGAGTTTTGCTAAGGGGTTGAGGTTCCCCCTTCACCCTTTCATCATTGAGTATCTGGACATGGTGGGGCTTCCTCCGGCCTTGCTGACGCCGAACAATTATTCCTTGATGGTGGGCTTTTTACTCCGGTGTGAGGAGCTGGGCTACAAGCCGACAACGACCCTATTCATGAATTTGTACCAGATCGGCCGAGGAAGCCACAAGAACTGTGCGGCCTATGCTACTCTTCAACAGCTGCCGAAGAAGAGGAGCTTCACGGATTTGCCTACGTCCATTCATGGGTGGAAGAGCAAGTTCGTGTTTGTGTCCATTGGTGAGAGTGGCACCGAGTTCCCCTCTCTCGGCCATACCGGGAGGATCAATCTCCATGACCCGCCGAAGAGCTCTATCTTGGATGCTCAGGTGGCGGCTTTCCTGGAAGGGGGGCCGAGGAGCGTGAAGGATTACGTTACTGAATATAAAATGACCGCCCTCGGCTTCTTCAGATACCACCTGTATGGCGATAAGGAGGATGACCTCCAACTCTGGTCGAGGATGACCACCACATTTGAAGAGGCCGACGGCCCGGATTTGGGCATTCCTGCTGAGGCCGATGGTAATTATTTCTTCGGCTTTCTGTTTTTATGTTTTTGTCCTTTGCCTTACTAATCTGTTGTGTTTTTCCTTTGTAGATTTTTCCATGGACCGTCGTTCCATAATGGCTATTGCCAAGGCCAAAGCGGCCGAGGAGTTGGCTGCCAAGGCGGTCGAGGCGGCCAGACGTGCCGCGGCCGATGGGAGCGGGGCTACTGCTGATGCGGCCCCAAAACCTGCCCCATCAAAGAAGAAGAGACCGGCCACTGACGGCCAGAAAAAGTTGACTGATGCCGGCCTGAGCGTCTCTAAGAAGACGAAGAGGGCACCTTCCCCTTCTCCGGCTACCGAGGCCGGTACTCTGGCTGTCCCCAGCGTGGACGATAGTGGTCCTGTCGTGGACCCTACTGCTGCTGGCGATGCTGCCCCATCACTACCTCTCGTCCAGGAGCCACGGACGAAGAGGGCCGGCAAGGAGATTGCCGGTGCCACCTACCAGAAGATGGTAGAATACCCCGTCGGCGGGGGTGTCTTCGATGACGTCGTCCTTGGCCATGACGTCCTGGCACAGGCCATGCCGGCCAAAGATCGGGCTTACTTGAGGAAGCTCGGGGACGTGAATGTTTATGAGGGCGGCATGGACCTCCTCGTCCAAGTAAGTTACTGTCCTTTGTAAGTGTTGTTGTTTTTTTCGTCGTCCGTGTAAAACCATTTGCCTGACTTTTGTTTCCCTTGTTTCTGTAGAGTGCCTTCATGCTTATGGAGAGCCACAAGAGGCAATACCGAGAGATAGCTCGCTTGAAGGAGCTGGAGCAGAAGGCCGCCTCGGCCGACGAGGCGGTAGCTTACCTGGACCGACTCCGAGAGGATGCCAGGGCGTTGCAGGCCAGGGCCGATGAAGCCGCCGCAGCCAGGGACGATGCCCTGGCCAAGCTCGAGGAGAGCAAAAGGGAGCTCGAGGAGTCCCAAAGGGCCCTGGAGGCCGAGCGGCGCAAGAGCGAGGAGGCCGTCAAGGCGAAGACGGAGGTCGAGGCCGCCGTTGTAAGGGCTGCTGACGAGGCCGTCGAGAAATTCCTGGCCGAGGGGTGGAAGGCCGATGAGAGGCTCCCCTGGTGCTACGAGGTGGTGGCCGCCAGGCTTGAGAGTTGGGGGATGAACTCCCCCGCCGGCCAGGAGTATTTCAGCCGAGAGATGTCCGTGTATTATAACCTTGGCCAGGAGCGGATGCAAAGGCTCCTGTGTCAGCGGCTCTCTCGTGCTTTGAAAGCCATGAACTATACGTCTGGGTGGGCTAGACGGAACCTGAAGCTGCCGAAGCTGATGAAGGATCCAGAAGAGCAGGCAAAGCTTCCGTTGTCGGAGCGGGAGTCCCCAATTGAAAGCTCCGGCCTTGGCGAGCCGGATTACACCGAGTTTGATTTTTTGGACGATGCCACTAGTGCTGCAGCCACCGCCGGCCAGGAGGCTGAGGCCGAAGAGGGAGCAGACGAGGCCGAAGAGCCAGCCGCAGATGGAGGTGCTCCAGAGGCTTGATCGGCTACTCCTTTGTAGTTAGTTTTCATTTTTGCCCAAATGATGTAACGGCCGAAGAGCCCACCTTTGTACTGAATTTAATATATATGAAAATATTTTGCTGCTCTTATCGGCTTTGAATTCCTTGCATGCTTGTTTGCTATTTGTTATTTTAATTCCGAAATTTGTCTAAGTGTCAAGGTCATAACTTGGGTGACCCGGGAGTGTCCGCTACGTCCGTGAGGTCGTCCACCCTGTCCGGTGGCCTGGTCGGCTTGTTTGTCGTTGCTTTACTACCATAACACTTAGGATTTTTTCAGAAAATTTCCTAAGTGTTTTGGGTTCACTTGGATGCCTTCTTCCCGGTCTGGTGGCTTGGTCGTCCTGACCGTGTTGACGTAGTATCATAACACTTAGGATCCTTTCGAAAAATTTCCTAAGTGTTTTTGGGTTCTTACAGTTGCTTCCTTGTGGCCTGGTGGCCTTGTCGGCTTGGCCGGTGGTTCTAGGCTACCATAACACTTAGGATTTTTTTTCAAAAATTTCCTAAGTGTTTTGGATCCCTTTAGGTGCTTCCTTTTTCAGCCTTGACCGTGGTGTCCGCTCCGTCCGGGCCTTGGATTCATCATTTTTGACAAATGCTCTGGGAGATTTCCCAAGTGTTTGAGCCAGTGTCGTTGTCGGCCTGCATCCTTTGTATTGTGGCCGATAAGGGCACCTTAACCTTGAGCTTTTTGAACTTAGAATTTTTCTAAGTACACATGCAGAGGTGTGGGTAGATAACGGCCTTGGAGTATACTGGTACCCGCTTCGGCTAGAGTTCCTTCATTTGAGTACTTAGATAATTTTCTAAGTATAAATGTGAGGCATTTACTTCTTTGCTTGTGGCCGATGAGGGTGCTGGATAAGGAACGGCTTGTCCAAGGAGATGGTCCTACCTTCGTCGGCTAGCCATGGTTCCTTGTTGAGGAACCCTGTCTTTTCTCAGGATTTTTTTCTAAGTGTTTGGGAAACACTTAAACGAATCCCTAAAGAACTTTCGCTTGACCAACAGCCCTGGTTCCAGTGCCGGCGTCGGCCATCCGAGATGTTGTGGCAAGTAGAGGTTGTTTCTTGATTGCTTGATCCTTTCGCGGGTGTGATGAGTGCCCGCTTCGTCCTGGTCATCCTCAGGATTGCGATGCTTTGTTTCATACCAAGCGTTGGTGCCTCAAAGGACTATGGCCGATGAAGGTCACCTCTCGTGTGTCACCCAACCGATGCGGTTAGGGTTTTATAGGCGTGTGTATCGGCCTTGATTATTCCCTTGTAGTGTGTGGACGTGTCGTCCGTGTTGCCTGTAAGTGGTACTACACTTGTGTTCAACTGACATGTACTTGGCCTAGTTGGGCCTGAGTTGTGGGGATTTTATTTTTTCATTGCTCGAGTCCGGCAAGTGTGCACGGCCGTCGGCTTCCCTCTTTTTCCCTTGTATGTTTTTTTTTGTTTCGGGGGGTATCCTTCTTTCAGGCTTCGGCCGAAGGGTGTGCTCGTCCTTCGGCCGGTTCGGACTTCGTTTATAACGTCCGTGGTCTCAGGGCGGGTCCCGTCGCCTATTTATGACGCGGGCTAGACTTTTGGTCGGTTTCCAACGGCTGTCGTTGCCCATCCCTGAGTTTTGGGATTTTGTCACCTCGGCCATGATTTCAGGCCTGTCGTCCTGCGTTCTGGCGCGTGGACGACGCGGTGAGCTTCCCGTTTCAAGACGTGGGCCGTTTGCGGGCCCCTCGTCCTGGGGACATCGTCGGCCATACCTGAGTGTTTCACTTCTAGGCTTACGGGGCCAGGACGATGTGCTCTCTCAGCTAGGCCTGAGCTCTTCGCTAATACAAAATACAATGGAGTGCCTGAGCTTGTCGCTCGTAGGCTGCAAATGCAAGGGGCCATGTCGGCCAGACCTGAGCCTTTCGCTCTAAGGTGGCCGACGAGGGCACCTGCTAATGTTTTACTTTGAATTTCCAGAGAAAAAATCAGAACATGATTTTATTCATAAGTGGCTCGAGGCCGAGGGTGGCGTTCAATCAGTAACCCGTTAAGAGACGATGATGTAGCGGTTATTCCCGGCGGCTCTGGGCAGGGGGCCGACCAGGTCAATCCCCCATCTGGAGAATGGAATTGCGGTGCTGACGGGGGCGTAGTTGACAGCTGGCCGACCAGGGGCCTTCTGGAGTACCTGGCATGTGGTGCACTTCCTGGCCAGGTCAGCGCAGTCGCGTGCCATCATCGGCCAGAAGAAGCCCTGGACGACGAGACGCCGGGACATGCTGAAAGGGCCCTGGTGTGAGGAGCAGACGCCACAATGAACCTCTTCCATGGCTGTGTCGGCCTCGTCCTGGTGCAGGCATCGGAGGAGAGTTCCATTATAGGACCGTTTGTAGAGTTTGCCATCTTCGATGGTGTAGCTTGGGGCCCTGAGTTTGGCAAGTTTGGCCCTCTCCTCGTCCGGGGGCAGCTCCCCCGTTGTGATGAAGGTGGCGATGTCGGAGATCCAGTCCTCAGGTCGCTGTTGGACGCATAAGACGGGGCTGGCATGGATACTGGACATGCTCAACTCTTCGATTTTGGCCAACTGGGAGATGTGCTCCGGGGTGTCCGAGCTGAGCTTGGAGAGGATGTCGGCTTCGGCGTTCTCGGCCCTTTGGATCTGAGTGATCTCGTGGGTTTCAAACGCTTTCAGCAACTCCTCCGCCGCTTGTTTGTACTGCTTCATCCGACCTTCCTTTGCTTCATATGATCCCTCCACCTGGCCCACTACCAGTTTGGAGTCGCACCTGATTTTGAGGTGCTTGGCCTTGAGGCCGGCGGCGAGTCTGAGACCGCTGAGGAGGGCCTCATATTCGGCCTCGTTGTTGGATACCCTGAAGTTGAAACGGATGGCATAGTATGCTCTGAATCCTTCAGGCGATATGAGGACGACGCCGCCGCCGCATGATTTCGCGACCGACGAGCCGTCAGTGAACAGGGTCCATGCATCGTCTTGTTCCGGCCCGGGGTTGGCGACGGTCGTCTCCCTTGCTGTGCACTCGATGACGAAGTCGGCCAAGGCTTGCCCTTTGATGGATGGCCTTGGCTTGATCTCAATTTGAAATTGGCTGAGGAAAATCGCCCATTTCACCATCCTAGAGGAGCTGGTGGGGCTCCTCATGAGTGCGCCGAGAGGCTGCTGGGTCAGTACATGGACGGCGTGGGCCTGGAAGTAGTGCCCCAGCTTCTTCACCATGTGGACGATGGCCAGCACCGTCTTCTCAACGGGGGAGTACCTGAGCTCGGCCTCCCTGAGTGTCTTGCTGATGTAGAAGATGGCCTTCTGCACCCCTTCGTCCTCACGGATGAGCACGGAGCTGATGGCCGACGTGCTCACCCCTAAGTACAAGAAGAGGGTTTCGCCGGCTCTGGGCTTGGAGAGCACGGGTGGGGACGACAGGTACCTTTTCAATTCGTCAAATGCCTCCTGGCACTCCGTCGTCCACTTGAAGCTGCTGGCTTTCCGCATGATCTGAAAGAAGGGGAGTGCCCTCTCGGCTGACCTGGAGAGGAACCGGTTTAAGGCCGCCAGGCGCCCCGTCTGTCGCTGTACCTCCTTGACGTTGCGGGGCGGCTCCATGTTGATGATAGCCTGCGTCTTCTCCGGGTTTATCTCGATGCCTCTCCGGCTGACCATGTAGCCGAGGAACTTGCCGCCCTGGACGCCGAAGGCACACTTCTTGGGGTTGAGACGGAGCCTGAACTCCTTCATTATTTCAAAGATTTCCCGAAGGTCGTCGGCGTGGGAGGTGGCCTGCCTGCTCTTGACGATCATGTCGTCGACGTACGCCTCCATTGTCCGGCCAAGGATCGCTCTGAAGATCTTGGCCACCATCCTAGTATAGGTGGCGCCGGAGT